CCAAGGGCTACTGGCCCTATACAATTTGGTGCACTGTCATTTTAACCACACTGATCTTCTTTATGATTTCTCAAATACTTTCCACAAATTCTTGACTCACAACCTTTGCACTTTCTGCCATGAACATTTTTCTGACTACTTTTAGATCTCTTTTCACATGCCCCATTCTCAATGAGTCCCTTCTCCGACCTCTACCACTATCACTCCTTCTTCATTTCATTTTTTGCATAGCACTTAGTGTGACCTAACATGCCATAGATTTCTTGATAGATTGTCTCTGCTAAGTAATATGGCTCCATGAAAGCAAGTAATTTTTCTTGCTGTTGTTTGTTGGTATGTGTGCCTGATACACAGTGAGTATGCACTGAATGAATGAAAAAAATGAGTGAATAAGGAAGCTTGTGTGTAAAACCCCAAGTCTAAAGTGGGATGTCAATTTCAGATCTGTAATATGGAGAAGAGTTTCTAAGGTAGAGGCTATTCAGGTTTAATATCCAGTAATTTATCTTCATCAGAATATACACAGAATTCTATGTGGATTGAATGAAAAATGACAAACAGTGTATTCTGTATTAACCACACAAACTGATTACACTTCCTGATATAGTCTCATCTCTGCCCTTTGGATCTGCCTGAACTAGTAAATTCTAGCAGTTATAATGAGGCAGGGTTCTTCAGGCATATACATCTCTACAGTACCTCTGTATTAAAAACATGCAGAAGATCATTCCTTTAATAGATATTTATTGAATGTGTGCTATGTACAAGGCACTGAGCTGTTTCTAAAATTTCAGAGTTCATAAGTTACCCTTCTGGTGTTTAATGAGTTTATTGACTAAGAACCCACCAATTATTGTGATTACTTTGTTTTTGTTTTATTTATTTATTTTTATTAAGTCATATACACATAGATCATGGATACATTTATGCATATGTGGGGTACAATGTGTTGATTTTTTTTATACGATCTGACATGCTTACATCAAACCAATCAACATAGCTTTCACCTCATTTACTTGATTATTGTGTTAAGACATCTATGTTCTACACTTAACGGATTTGACTTTTACCCTCGCAATATGCTCCATAGGTGTGGCCCCGCCTTTTACCCTCCCTCTATCAAACCTCCCCCATCCCTTCTGTCAGGGCCCAGGACTGGCCAGGTCTTGGGCCAGTGTAACTAGGTTCCAGATGTGGACCCCTAAGCTACCTTGCTCAGGAACAATTGATTTTAGATGCCTGAGGGCTATTTACTTTAGTTGTCGAGAGAGAGAGAGAGAGAGAGAGAGAGAGAGAGAGAGAGAGGCACTTAGAGTAAATCAGTCTTAAGAACAGATAGATCTTAGTCTTTAGTAGAGCTTAGTGATCTTCAGCAGAGAGACACCGCACTGGCATTCTGCAGGCTGGAGAGGAGTCAGAGTCAGAGTCAGAGTCAGAGTCAGAGTAAGCACGTCCATGATAGAATGTGCATGCTCTTGACTGCCTTCTCTCCAGCCTGATATAAGGTTGACCTCTTGCCTCTCAGCACCACAGGTGTAGTGACTGCCAATTCACCAATGCTCTCATCTTGCAAGCTCTCATGCTTGTTAGGAGAGCTAAATCCCTCTCCATGCCCTTTTCACCAAGGTGCTCCACTGAGCTATACAGGTATTTCTTAGAACTCTCACTCCTCCTAGCCATAGGCTATACAGGCTGCTACACTTCTCCCTTCCCACTCCGTTTCTTTCCTTCATCCTGGGCTATAGTTGTGTTCTATCTTTCATAGGAAAGTGTGAGTAAATATAAGTTGGTTTCATAAGTACTGAATACATTGGATACTTTTTCCTCCATTCTTGAGATATTTTACTCAGGAGAATATGTTCTAGCTCCCTCCATGTAAACATAAAAGAGGTAAAGTCTCCATCTTTTAAAAGGCTGGATAGTATTCCATGGTATACATGTGCCACGATTTATTAATCCATTCATGGGTTGATGGGCACTTGGGCTTCTTCCATGACTTTGATATTATGAATTGACCTGCAGTGAATAATCTGGTACAAATCACTTTTTTGGAAAGTGATTTTTGGCCTTTTGGATATACTCCTAGTACAGGAATTGCAGGATCCAATGGCAGATCAATTTTTAGATCCCCGAGTGTTCTTCAAACTTCTTTCCAAAAGGAATGTATTAGTTTGCATTCCCACCTGCAGTGGAGAAATATTCCCTTTTCTCCACATCCACACCAACATCTGTAGTTTTGGGGTTTTGTTATTTGGGCTACTCTTACTGGAGTTAGATGGTATCTCAAAGTGATCTTGATTTGCATTTCTCTGATGATTAAAGATGATGAGCAGTAATTATTGTGATTATTAAATGTACTACAGAGTATATTTATGCAGCTAGGTAAGAGAACACAGTGGAGAGTACTTAACTCATTCATCAGGCAATGCTGAAGGCAAAGGTTTAAGAATGGTTTCTGAGGCTCGGCACCTTTAGCACAGTAGTTACAGTGCCAGCCACATGCCCTGAGGCTGGCAGGTTCGAACTCAGACCAGACCAGCTAAACGACAATGACAACTGCCACGAGAAAATAGTCAGGCTTTGTGGCGGGGGTCTGTAGTCCCAGCTACTTGGGAAGCTGAGGCAAGAGAATTGCTTAAGCCCAAGAGTTTGAGGTTGCTGTGAGCTGTGATGCCATTGCACTTTACCAAGGTTGACAAAGTAAGAC